GTTTTACTCACGCAGAAGGAGAGAAATATAATACAAAAATTTAATATAAAAATCCTCGAGTATTATTCAGAGGAATCGAAAAAAATTGGAAATAATATTTAGAAAATTTGAATAAATTCTCAACGATAAAATTCTCCTCCTCGAAATTATCGATGAACTGCTGGATAATCGGGAGGAGAAAAAGAGTCTCTCCTCGCGCTCAACAACAACTACCTTTGGCCGTTTCATTTGTTATATACTCATCTTGCAAAATTATCCCGAATTTGAATTTCCTAATTTCTTCTTTTTCGAAAATAATAAAAAGCCTGGGATTTCCATCGAAGAAGAGAAATTGAATTGAAATATCCCCGTGGCAAAATTCGTTTAACCACGCGGCGTTCGAATTGCATTTTACGTTATTACGTTACCGATATTGAACACCGTTGTTCCACCATGCAACTTCGTTTTACAGCTCTCCGCCATTAATAACATGATCTTTGATGATTTTCCGTGCCAGGAAGGTTATAACCTTCCACTTCCGTGATAACCTGCCGATAAGTAGATTCACCCTCGCGATACAACAAAGACATTGATCCAAAACGGTCTTCTGTCGGAGAACAAAATTTTTTCCTCTCCTTTCCTTTTTTTTTTTTTTTCCCTTATCGACCTCGATAAGATCGGTCGGCAAAGGTTTTTTTCCGTGACCCGAAGAAACGCGAATACCGATTAAGCGAAGTCTTTCTCTCCTCATTCAAAGAGGAGCACTATTCAATTAACGACGAAATGGAGTTTTTTTCTTTTTCTCTTTTCTCTTTATGAAAATGTTACAAGATTCATCACGCGAAAAATCGTTAAACATCGTCACTTTTGAAGTTTTTGTTACGATGTTTCGTGAAATATATATATATATATTTTTTGATTTTAATTTTTAATATTTTAAAATCGTTACCTTCGTTCTCGAATCTCGTTCGTTCCATTCTTTCTTCTTTCTTTCTTTCTTCGTTTTTCTTTCCTCTTCTCTCTCTCTCTCTCTCTCTTCTTCCTTTTTTCTCCTCGCATTTTTATACGTATTTTCTCACGCTGACTCCGTGTTCCTTTGATCTCTCGGGGTCGAGCCGGGCTTTTTTTCAATAGCATCTATTTTTAAATTATATTTTTGTTGCCCCTTTGTAACTTTGTAACTTTTTCTTCCTTTTTTTTTTTCCTCCCAACGTACGTAAAAATTTATGTGATTTCATCGTCGACTGGTCTCTTCCAAAAGAAAACATATAATGTAACAGTTAATATATATAAGCGACTGTCGATACATTGATTCGAAAATATTTTAACAGATAGAATCGTGACTCTTCTTTTTCTTTTTCGAACTTTTCGAACTAAGTTTCGAGCATATTTTCATTTATTATTTTTCCCCCCTCTTTAAATAACTAGCTCGAATTTGAGTAATCCACAGTAGGATGACGTCTAAGAAAGTTTTTGCGTGGAAAACTCATATTTCAAAAACGGGATCAAGTTTTATTAAAGCTATTTTTTTTTTTTTTTTTTTTTACGTTCGCTCAACGCGATCTAAGGATATTTTTGCATATTATTGGACGTGCTATTTCGCACTCTCGCGCGCGAAAAAAAACAATCGAAAAAATTTCATTCGAACAACTTTACTTATTTCGCCGTCCGAGTTAATAATAATATTTTCGTGTAAAAACAAGAAACAAAAAGAGAAATTTATCACGGCAACCCGAGAAGCTCGACATTTTTAAATTTTTAACGCCAATAATTTTTAACATCGACGATAGAGAGAGAAAGGGAAAGAGAGGGTGACTTATTTTGCCGGACCCAGACCAGTTTATTTCTGCAAAAAAAAGAAAAAAAAAAGTTTTTCAATGGAAATTGATGTTTAAAATATATTTTCTTGACACGCGTGTGATAAAAGATTCGAAGGGAAAATATTGTTCCGGAAGCACTTTCGAATAATCAAGAAATTTAATACGTCGTATTAAAGGCGTTTTAACTAGGATAAAATATTATCTTTCGAGAACACATTGACAGTTGACGACGCCATTACGCCGACGGTAGTCGAACGGAGTAGCTGCTAAAGTATCAACATAAAACACCTATTGATCACTTTCAAGGAGAAGAGAATGTTTATTCTTGGAAATTTAAAATCGAATAGTTGATTAGAAAAAAAATGAACATCGTTCTTTCGTTATCGTTTCATCCCACATTTTCGTTTACATTTTTTCCTACCGTTAATTTTCGTCTATCCCTTTGCGGATAAAACCGACTGAAAAAAAAAAAAAAACAAAAAATTACAGATCAAACCGTGCGAAAGTTTACAACCGCGATACGAACACCGCACTGTGATCCCTCGATCTATTAATTCCACTCGAAACGAAAATATCCCATCTCGTGCGACCGCCATTTCGAGAACGTAATACGCGCGATATACATCAGATATATGTCCGCGAGTCGATTTTACGGCGAAAAGGACGGGAGAGGCAAGCCACTATTTCGCTTTCCTTGCTCTCGATCGAGGTCTCGTAACATCTGGATATCGTGTAGAATTTATTCGGCCTGTAAAGCCACGTATCCCTCCTCCCCTATCATTCGTCGGAAATATTCGGAAAGCGACACCCGCGAAAATTTCTCTCTCTTCTTCCCTCCCGGCAAAAGTTTCCAGAGTTATCGATAAAAATTTGGACGGACGATCTTGGGAGGTAAAAGTTGCGAGCTGCTTCGAAATTCGCGTTTAAAAATTTTAAAAGGAAGGGAAATTTATTTCTCGCCCTCGCGTGAAATATCGTTACAACATGGAATAACTTCTCTCGGAACAAATATATCTGGGATTGGTAATCCGACGGGGGGGGGAGGGGGGGGGAGAAATTTAATAATTGGAGATAAAGTTGCTTAGAAATAATTTACCGTTCAACGTAATTACAATAATTGGAAATAATGGAAAACGTTACTCGTAGCATTTTAACTGTAGTAATTAACTGGAAATAACTTTATTGGAAATTTTTAGAATTTAGTTAGAATCACTTTTGAACGGATTGACGCCCAACTTTTGATTAATCATTATTTCGCGTTGAAACGAGCGGCACGTTTTTTTTCGAGGATGATCAGGAGAAGAACGAGATTAAAAATGGAGGGAAATTACTAGGAGGCGTGAAATTGCGTGTTAATTCCACGTGGGGCAGGGAGGGATTCGACGCGTTTCTTCGAGCGAAGAAGAAAGAAGGTGGTCGGAGAGGGGGGGATGGCGTGGAATTTCAAGCATGGCGCTCATAATGGCCTGGGCCACATATTAGTTTATCTCGTGATGATCCCAACGAACGAGGTCCAACTTCTCGGCAATTCTACGATGCTGCTCCGAGGAATGCTTCCACAGTCGGGGAAGAAATTGCGCGATTGCCGATTTCAAAAAATTAATTATCGAGATCGGTGATTGGATGGAGAATGGACGTTGGTTGGAAACTTGGAAACGCGTTCCAAGATGCGTTCGAAGTGTTTAGAAGTTGGGACGATCGATACAGTGTTTGATATTAGGAAATTAGATCGATTCCATGAATACTTGACAAGTTATACACGACATATTCTATACATTTCTCTTTTTTCCCAACTTTTTATCCCTTTCATCTATTCCTTTATTACTCCGTATTTTAATTCTTTTTTTTCTTTTTTTTTTCAACAGTTGAAAAACATTTGTTCATTTGGGAAACACGATCGCGATACGGAATTATAAAGCCATTGTGTTGCCACTTTTTCATACAAATTGTTTTTATTTCTCCTCTCTTCTCTCTCTCTCTCTCTCTCTCTCTCTTTCGCCATGAAACCCGACACTTTTTCGCAATTGATCGTTGTATAAACGATTTCATCTCTATCAATTGAATCGCGCATCGATTCCTTATTTAGACACAGCGCGATAACTACCCGATATTCGCACAATTCCTCGTGAATGGAAATCCAACTCGAAGATATCGAAGAAAGCTTTCCTTTCGTACGAAGTGATCCTTTCTTACTTTTACTTAGATAGAGAGAGAAACTTTTATTCCTTTCTCCTAGCAAATATCTCTTCCATTATTGTATTTCTAACGTTACGCGTTCTTTTACGATTATTAAATCAAATTCGAAAATGTAGCAGATGCATTGCAATAAATTCGCGTGGAAGAAATAATTACTTTTTTTCTTCTTTTCTTTTTTTTTTTTTTTTTTTCTTTCCTTTTTCAACTGCTATGCAATACGAATAACCAAGGTTAGGATATCTCAAAAATATGGACGAACGTTATTCCAAAGCCGCTTTAATATCCGTTCAACGTCGCAGAAAGACGTTTCAAAGAGAGGCTACTACGAGTTTCGACCGTTTCTTTGCTCCGATTTCCAATATCTTCAACTCGTTCGTACATCAAATTCTTCCATTCTATCCTACATGGATCTGGACCGATTTCAAATTCGTTTCTTCCGTTTCTTCTTCTTCTCCTTTCCTCTCGTCAACTCGTCAGCTTAAACACTCGATCCCTCCGCGCTTCACGCGACAGATTTGTTAATTTATATACACCCGTTTTATATATTTCAATTATCTCTCCTTCTCCATCCATCGAGAAAATCAACGTAAATTTCGTTTCGTGAATTTTGTTATATCGCGCGAGCATGTACGAAACTTTTACTTTCGCGTGATTATTTTAACACGTACAAAATATCGCGTTACTATCGAATTCGATGCGTATTTCGAAACACGAGTACTCGATTCGATTTATATAACCGATCCATTACGCGATTATATCGCGTAGAATTCGATAATCCCGATAATTTTAAATTTTCTGCAAAAATGCGTTTCATTCGTTCAAAAATTTCATATTATTTATCTTAGTTTGGAACAAACGACATTAAACATTTTTCACGTTTTTCAAAACTTTGTTATCCAGTTTATTTAGAAAAAGCTAAAGTAATAAATAGTAATGTTTTAGCATTTTAACGAGGAGACACGTTGTGGGTTTCAGAGGTAATTTGTCGAGGGAAATCGACGGGATGATATCCGGCGTGAAACAAATCCAAGGGAATGCGTATCTGGGAGAAGGGTGAGCCGAGCGGCTCCACGTTTTTGTTCGAGCGGCCTTGTTTTCGGTGTGTCGGCAATTTATCGTGAAACGCAGAGGCCGGGGCAACAGCGGACAACAACATCGGGCGACGACTTTATGCCGGTAACCGGAGCCGGAAACCAGAACGCCAAGGAAGGCGCAACAGGGAGCTAAGAGCACTTCCGTTTCTCCCAACCGAGGCCAGCCAACCGTACTTTTATCACCATGCTGCCTGCCAACGTGGTATCCTTCGTCAAAAAGGTGACTATCTTTTTTTCTCCTCCTTCTTTTATATTCGAATATTTACAAAATATCAATATTGACGAGATCGTCGTAATAAACAGAAAATTATATTATTGGGAGAATAATAAATGTAGACGTTTTTAGGCGTGAAGTGTTATATCGATTTCAATTCATAATATGTTAAATTCATTCATAGAAATAATAATTTTCAACACTTGTTGTAAATTTCCAAAAGGAAGAAAACTAAATTTTTCTTGAAATCCCCTTATCATTTTGGAGACGAATCTACTGAAATTGGTAATTCCAATGCAATACCAATATCAAAATTACGTGTAAACCTAAAAATTTTCTAAAAATTATGACGATACCAATCGACGATACCATTTCCAAAGTCGAAATTATTCCGAATCAAAGTTTAATATAATTATAATTTCAAATACATCATTCTCCAAAAAAATTCGAGTCAATCCAAATTTGTATATATATATAAAATCAAGCACAAAATATGAATCGAGATAACGCTAGGTTTAAGGGCACGTTGTGAACGCAGCCATACAACGAGCACCGTGTAAACTTTATAATAAACTTTTTTTTTTCTTCTAAAAGATATAGAAGCAATATTCGAATATTTACAAAATATCAATATCGTCAAGATCATCGTAATAAACTGTGAACCAAATTTTTTTTCTTCTTCTGAAGGATATAAAAGTAATATTTATATTCGAATATTTACAAAATATCAATATCGTCAAGATCGTCGTAACAAACTGCATAAATGTAATAAACCAAACTTTCTTTTTTTTCTAAAAGATATAGAAGCAACTTTATATTCGAATTTGCAAACATTGCTTATTGCAAAAACTTGACGAACTTGTTTTTAATATCAATTAATCTATTTTTTGATTCTAACTTTAACTCTCAGATTAAAATTAAAACGAACAGAGACGTTTCATAATTCGACGAAACAAACTATTTACGCTCGTTCATAAAGTAAGGGAAAAAAGAAGAAGAAGCGAGTTTTATTCCCCCCTTCTACATCTCTCTATTTCTCCCCTCCTCTCGAGGGAATAAAATATATTTATCGACGCGATTTATACAGAGAGCTCGTCTACTCTTCGAGAAGAAGAGTGTATCGTGAAACACAAACAAAGAATAATACATTTTACGCATGGCTGAGCCAAGTTTCATCCGTTTCTCGCCCCTTTTTAGAACCCGATTTCGACGAGATTTACCCCCTCGACCGGGAGGTAAATATAATAAGCGGTGGCACGGCCTTGGTTTCTTTGTATCGTCGTGGAATCTAGGCTCAAGACGATGAATCGTATCCCCCGGTTTGTCGAGCACCGAGGATTAAACGGCATTGTTTCGAGATGGTGTCGAGATGCTTGCGATCGAGTCGAGGGGATTAAATTTCTTCGAGGGGGTTGGAAACATCCGGCCACCGACTCTTCCTTAACACCGCCGAATCGAGACGCTGTCTTGGATCGGTATCAATGGTATAAAATGTATCTTCGATCAAGGAAAGAATCGTGGCGATGATCCATTTAGGGAAATTTAGAGGAAATCGTTTCGAACGTATTTTGCGAGTACCGTTTGAAATATATTTAAAAAGAGTATCCGATACGAAAGTTTGTAATGTGTAAAGCGTGTAACGCGAACAGGAACTTTGAATACACGATTCGTGAGAAAAATAATGAAACGTTCGATTTCATAACGTTACGTTATTGTATCACGTGTAATAGGTTTTGAACGAAGTCGAAAAGCGGATTAGATGAATAAATCGAAACATTTTGCGTCCGCGGGATGAATAAAATATCAGGAATGGAATAAATATCGTATATTTAATAACATGGGAGTTGGATCGATCGTTTGACATGCATGCACGAGTAACCCCTGAAATATCGACGTACGAAATATAAATTTTATATACGAGCTATTTATATATTTAACTGTCTCTAACTAAAAAATTTGATGTATATACTAAAAAAAAAAAAGAAAAAGAAAAAAAGAAGTATCTCTTAAAACAATATTCTACTTTAAAAAAAAAAAAAAGAAAAGAACATTTATAAGCGTGAATATTTCGAAACATTTTGAAACGTGGATCATTTCGCCAAAAGATGTAAATTTTAAATTACGAATAACGCGTACAAATATATTCCGTGGTTGGGAATTTCGTAGCGTACGTATCGAGCTCGAGGATACATGGAAAAGCGCGAATTATTTAGTTGTTTAGAGAGGTTTAGTGGCGATAGTTCTCACTCGTTAAATTTCGTTCCGTTTTCAGAACGAATGAACTCGGTAAAGGATTTTGGTCAAACGAGTGGATGCAATCTCAACAAAAGCGCGGGGCTTTGCTGCGTTCGAGACTGATATCCGGGCTTGTTTGATCTGAAACGCAGATTTTCGAGTTGAATTTCAACAAAACAATGGCCCGCTTCACCAAAGATTCATGAGGGCTTCGATGAATTTGTCACCAGCCCGACACGAATGGATTCCAACGATTTCACACGATTTCGATTACATCGCATTTCCTCCATTTTCTGACAATAAGGAGACGAAGAAGGTGAAGGAGGAAGCGTTTCGATCTATCCTTCTCATTTATTATACGAGAGATATAATTATAGAAAGATTTATGGAAAGTGGATAGAAAAAGTTTTCCTACGAGAAAGACAGAGAGAGAGAGAGAGCGAAAAGGCGAAGCATTTATCTTACGTTTTTCATTCTTATTGAAAGCGCGGATAACGAAACTTTCGAACTGTTCGTCCCAAATTAACATCTGTTATTCGTATATATACGTCGTTCGAGTTTACGCTTTAATTACGCTTTAATTCACAATTTTTAGTTTATTTATCGACGACACTGGAATAGATACTGGCTTTCGAGAGGATCTTTCGTTCTTCAAAAGAACGCTCGAAACCGAAAATCTTACTTTCATCTTCGCTTTAACCCGTTAACGATTCCTTTTATGCATATCCTTTCTCCATCGACGGTGCATCGATGAATGACATACTCGATAACAAAGAAATATCGATGCTACCATTGTCGAAGGTATTGTCCAGGATTACCACCATTCATGGAATCGTTTCACTCGGCGTACACAGCGCGGAGAAGCGCGGCAATCCGTGTTATTCGACACACGCGCTTCCAACAGAGCTCCTACATTTCTCGGTGCATCCATAAGGATCCACGAATTATATTCAAAAAAATCCATCCATATGTCTGCTGCATTCTCGAACCACTGTTCAAGGATGATAGAGAAGTACCATGTGTTACGTAATTTAATATATTCTTCGCGACATCAGAGAACGCGTTAGAAGGAAGAAAGCAGGAATTTTACACAATACGCAAATAAGCGCACAAACGCGTGTTATTCGACAGAGGTCGCACCCATTTTTGATGGTATTTTTATTATTCACACTGAAAGAAATTCATCCACATGTCTGTATTCTCGAATCACTGTTCAAGGCTGATAGAGGAGTGTTATTATGTAATTTAATATATCCTTCACATCAGAGAACGCGTTAGAAGGAAGAAAGTAGTGCAGGAATTTTACACGGCGCACAAACGCTGTTATTCGACAGAGGTCGCACCCATTTTTGATGGTATTTTTATTATTCACACTGAAAGAAATTCATCCACATGTCTGTATTCTCGAATCACTGTTCAAAGGTGATAGAGGAGTACCACGTGTTACGTAATTTAATATATTCTTTACGAGTTCATCAGAGAACGCGCTCTTAAAAGAGAGAAAAAAAGAGAAAAAAGAGAAGCGAAGTGCAGAGCGGTGCGCAAATTTTCGTATTGGGACATTTTCCATTGGAATCGTCGCGGAACGGTTTACACGGCGAAGAGAAACGCGCTTCCGCAACCTACACACTTTCTCGATCGACAGTGGTTCGACAATATTTTCAAAGCACATTGTTCGCGACATCGGAGCCATGTTGGCCATCATCGAGAACGCGTTAGTAAAAAAGGATAAAAGAAAGAGAGGGGTGCAAACTCGTATGCAAATTTTCGATTGGAATCGCCGCGCTCGTGCGTACACAGCTCCTTCCTTCCATCCGTTTCTCCATCGACCGTGCTCTTCCATAATATTTTTACACCACGCTCTTCGCGACATCCTCGAGTTAAAAGCAAAAAAAAAAAAAAAAAAAAGAACCAATATGCAAATTTTCGTACAGGCATTTTCCATAGAAATGCTCGAGAATCGTTTACACAACGTGTTATTCCACGCTTTCCTACGCGTACGCTTTTCAGATCGTCACGGTTCAATCGCATTTTCGTTCTCCCAACGAACAAAAGCACGCGTGGGGCCACAACAGACCATACACGGCCATGCATTAGATGCAGAGTATCGGCCGTTTAATATTCCTGTCGAATTTGCATTCCGGGATTCCGGATCGCTCGGCTGGGATTACGATGGCGTTCCTCTTTGGAATCCTCCCAAAAGCCGAGGTCGCCCCCCTATTCCGCTCACGGATCGAAGGGCGAAGGACAGAGGAGGGCGGCCGGTGTTCCGCCTCCGTGAACTTGTATGCGCGTATTCAGGCCCCCCCTGTATCTCGTCCACGAGATAATTGCACTCGCCAAGATGATGGTGGATGTCACGGAGTTTCCATCACGACCGCCTCTTTTCGCAATTATATTAAATACGCCACGGATTCCTGTCGTTGGGTACATGCTTATCCATCCGGATCCGTTTTGTGTGATATTTCGGAATGCGTCGATCGATTTCAAGGGTGGAAATATGTGTGTATATTGTTATTCAGGATCGTGAAGGTTTTAATAATGATAGAAACAAAAGAGATCGATGATGTTTTACTTTGCTCGACTATTAACTGTTGATATTTTTCTTTTTTTTTTTTTGCTGGAAAGGTCGAGTTATCGAAGTTTGCGAAGGAAAGAGAGAGAGAGAGCGATCGTTTTTTACATCGTTACATCATTGTCACGCTCCGTTCCTACCTCGATTCATCATCGACGCGAATTTTAACTCGGTTAATAATATCTTAATAAACGAGCCATCCTTTTCTTCTTCCATGCTATAACTTTCGTTCCCCTAGAATCGATCCTTCGAAATTCCTCGAATACGCAATAAATAATTTATCCACGATATAACGCGAATTTAAATCGTTCGCAATTTAACGAACAAGTCTCGATCTCATTCTTTTTCTACACCGACTTTTCTCTAGAATCTTCAGAGCTAACTCGGCATTCCTGATGTAACATATCGATAAATAATTTATCCAGAACCGTTACAAAATTCAATTGTAAAAATCGTATAATTCACGAATAAAGGAACGTTCTATTTTATTAAATTCGATAAACTAAACGCACGCGTTCCTCCTTTCCAAGTTTAACCGTTTTCCAATTTTCCGCACGATTCGATTGAATTTATGGGTGGCTCGTACGAGACACGACATACATATACATGCCGCGCTCCTTAGCGCACGGAATCGAAGATCGAGCTGGTCGAAGCGGACCAGAGAGAAGCGGATGGAACAAGCGACGATTATTAAGATACGAGCTTGTTCGCTCGTGATGCTTCCAATATCGACACAAACGAGTCTCTTGAAAAATAAAGTCTCTCGCTCTCGAAAAAAAAAAACAGGTCGATTTCTCTTCCCAATTTTTCGCCAAATGGCTCGACCATGCTTCTTCGTGCATATAACGAGTCTTCTATTCGATAACAGAAGCAGAAGGAAAAGTTACATATAGAGAATATAAGTCGTCCGAGTGTTTCACTGATTACGATTTCATTGCCACGGATATATATATATATGTATGTGTGTGTGTGGATATCTGCTGGAAAGGAAGTGGTCCAACAGCAACCGTTTTATTTGTACCGTTATATTCTCGAACCGAGAAAAGGAGAAGAGATTCTTTAATAAGAAACGAGGGATCGTCTGGTGATTTCAGACTTTTCGAACAGAAATTCGAGAACAGTTTTTTTATACCTCAGAAAACTTCTCTCACATTTCCAACTTGAATATATACGTATAACAGAAAAATATTGTTTGTACAGGGATGATTTTAGAATTCTTCTGCTGAATTTATCCATTCAATAGGCCAGGTTTTACTGCAAATTACTGTAATTATGCCGATTTAACGGACGATTCATCAATTTTGATACTACTTACATCGTTTCGTTGGAGAGAAAAAGCTTTAAAATATTTTCCTCCTAACGTTGCAAATTATCCACAAGAACAGTTGATTAACATTTACACGTTTCGAGAGAGGCGAACAAAAATCGGTCCTTTTTCAAAGATTAAACAACTTTGAGGAGACTCTTTTCAACCTTCCTCTTTTCGCGAAACGATCCTCTCTCGTTAAAACATAAAACTTCAACCGAAACAAATCCCTCCTAATATAACAATCCAACTCGTATATACACGGTTTCGCAGGGGAACAATAGACGTTTCTAATAAATACGAATAAGCGGCGGTGGAAAATTACAGCACAGGCTGTGTCCGTAAGCTGTGTGGGTCGGCAATTGAAAAGTCGTATCACGTATACCCACTCATCGCCCTCGTAAATTCCACCAGAAGCCAGACACATTTGTAATGAAGATCGTGGCACCGTGAAGAGACAGAGCCAGCGAAATCGACCAGCCTGCCGCCATTACGGGGGAGGAGCAGGCCTCAATTACGTTTACCGCCCCTGTTTTAATAATCCCTCCCCAAAAGCTCGTCGTCGTCCAAGCCTCGTTTCGAAAACGCTGTTGGAATAATTCCAAAAGCGGGGAAAGAGCCGATCGGAAAGAAATTCGGATTTCTCGTTACGAGTTTCGTATTATTGTTCGATCCTTTGTTTGCACAGCTTCAATCGGATCGAGAGTTATTTCGCATCGAGTTTGGGAAAAGAATGGATACATTTATAGATACAGATAGCGTTACGATACGCTTTTCGTTTTCAACGAGCTTTCGCTATTCTTCATCAGTCTCAGCCTTCTTGTAAAAACCTTTTCTTTTTAGAGGATCGAACAAGAATAATAACAAGTTTCCCCCGTGCGAGTCGTTGTCTTTCGAAATCAATTTAAAAGAGTACGAGAGATACGAATGGAGAGAAAAGCGAATAATTTCTCACTGCTCGTATAAATCCAAGGGTACGCATGAATCGAAAATTGAAAGGTCGAGTCGAATCCACGGCGAGGAAAGTTTTTCAAAAACGGTATTGCTCGAAGCGCAGGGGATTATGGAACGTGTCGATGGAAATAAATAATTTCTCATTCTGTCGTAGATGGTGACGACGCAGCCAGATTCGGGGACAACCGGATCGGTTACGCCGGACGAAGGCGGCACCACGTTCAGCAAATGGAGGCAATTGGGAAGCGGCGTGATACGGGACGGTGAGTTTCCTCATCGACGCTTAATGATCGATCGATTCGGAAAAAATCATTCCCCCCTTTTTTTCTACCTTCGTTGAAAACCACCGATGATATCTCTACGCGTCGAGTTTCCTTTATATTTAACGAAATGCTCAGAGAAACACGACGAATGGAAACGAACGAGCTCGAAATTAGTCGCTTCTCCCCGCGCAATTAATATCCAGTCTGTGGAAAATTATCCGACTGCACCAGAGAATTTAACCCTTTCGCTACGGGCGACTTGTTTGCCGTCGTTGCATCAAAAATGTGCAACGACGGTGCTCAGAGAGAGATTGTCGGTGGCAGTGCATTTCACAATTCGAATTTTTGCTTTGACGGTGTTTACTGAAAAAAAAATTGATGATAAAATATCATGATGCTACAGAGAAAGATACTCGACGTGCAATAATTCCGATTGCTCGTCATATCGTATCGGAGCGATTATAGTCGCCCGTAGTAACGAAAGGGTTAAAATTACAATATAATGATGCAAGCTCAAAGATGAACATCCTCACAAAAATTGGACCGAAAGATGGGATCTTTCTCCAGCAGTAATTTAATTAAAACAGTCAACGTTCAAGCTCGATGAATTAAAATTCCGTTGGAATAGTTTAAAAAACAGTCTCGTTCGTTCCACGATCGTGGAAATCATCGCCTTTTCCTTTCTCGTCGTCGCTTCGTTACCTCGATTGTCACCCGCGTAAAAATAGCGCGCTGGTTTTTCGCTTAATTAACCCGACGAGCGTGGCGTCGAGGAGCGAGAAAGTGACGAATTTCCTCCCTTCTTTCTCTCCCTTCCCTCTTTCCTTCCCTCCCCCTTTTCCCGTTTTCCGGTAGGAAAACCGGAATAATTCGCGGGAGATTACACGACGAGTATAATTTTCATTCAACGTCGTGGGAACAACAACGCGTTTGAACGCGCACACTTTCCGTTTTATACCCCGTTTACGCCACGGTTCCACGCCCTTTCTCTTTCTTTTGTTCCAAAACTACGCGACGCGCCACAATTCTCTCTCGCCGCTGAATTCCCCGGAACGGAAATGCTGATACGCGCGTGGAACGGGCGCGTTCGAGTAAAAGGATTTTTTCATTTTTTGATACGGCGATCCTGAATGAGCGGCGTTGCTCGTTGCCCACGTTGAAACGGGTTTTCATAGCGGTGAAATGAATTTAATATACGGATCTTTTATTATCCGTTTTTCGTAGCGACGTTGCGTGCAACGTATTTAGATTACAACGTAAATACAACGCGTTTAGATGTAAGAAATACTTTCCTGCGTTTGGTCGGTAATTGTAGGATGGCAAGTGAACGTGTAGTTTTAACTATTGAAGAGAAATACAAGATGATTAAAGAAAGTGGTAGAAATGAAACGAAATTGGCGAGAATACGCAGCTGCTTGCGGTAAAAAGTTTATGCGACTTGGCGGCTATAAAGATAAGGGACCCTCGGACGTCGAAAGAAACTATTAATTTTATGTTTATTTCTACTCGAGTAAACGAAGCTTAACGCGAAAAAAAGTAATCGTTCTATTACCCGAAAATTCCACTTTAGATACGGGAGTCTCTACCGTGGATATAGAAGTTCAATCTCAAATTCTAAAACAACTCGACGATTCAGCTCGGGAAGGAATTAGCCAGGTGTTCAGTTTTTGAAAAAAAGCTTACTCGATTCTTGCTCGAGATAAGGCTAGGCAACAAGCAACGCGTACCAGGCTCGAGCCTGTTAAAAGTAATTCGAGAAAAAATTATCGACTGGATATCGCGTATCCCCTCGAGAGAAAGAGATAGAGAGAGATCTCGACTCAATTTGTAGGAGAAGGGAATCCTGTTGAAAAAAATTCCACCCGATATTCGCAATTTCGAAGACGGTTGTCTGCCCGTCTAGTTCGACGCAGCCGGCTAACCTACTTTCCTCGAAGACGCTCTGCTCTCTCTTAGTTATACAGCCTTTCTCATCGAATTTACCAAATGAAATAAACTCCAACTCCGTTCTCCGGCCGAGGAAACAGTTTTCTTTCTCGCGACATCACGTATTCTTCCATCCCCGCCTCCATTTTTCCTCCCGCCTTCCGTTCGAAATCTGTCGATTAAACTCGGCCAACTTCCGCTTTTCTTCCAGAATATTCTTCGTTTTAACCTGTTCTTTTTTTCCTTACTTTTTTCCTTTCGCTCGAGAATCCGTCTTTTTTCTTTTTTTTGAACCGAAATTCCAGCAAGCAACGTCGCTTTAATTTCTCCGAAATTGGATAAAAATATATATATATATACATATAACGAAGAGAGAAGGAAAGAAAGGTGGCTGAACTCGTTACGCCGGATTATTTTTACGCGAGACGATTCTTTGTTCGGGGCTCTGTTCTGGTTGTTTCGTAACTCGCTTAATGAGAGGGAGGAGTTAAATCTTTTCGCAAGGATTACTTTTACAAAGAAATCGCGAGAAGAAGAATATTATGCTTCGTTAAAAATTAGTTCTCTCGAATCTCGCGTTCAAATTGATATTTGCAAAGAATTTCTCTTATATATATATATATATATATATATACACATACACACCGATATACTTTCCCTTCTTTTTTCCTAACTTTAAAATACGACCACCACACAAACGACCAGCATCGATATATCTTTTCGCGAATTTATATCTGCGCGAGTTATCTTAATATTCGTTTCTGCGGTCGTCGTAGAGATATAATAATTCTCTTAACATCGCGTTTCGTATTCCTCGAACGATGAAACTTGATACGCGTTGAAACCGTGTTGGTTGGAAACGTTCGTGGCATAGTTGCGCATCGTCTCGCGCGTTTAAACGTCGGTCGGTAATGCTCGGCCCGGAATTAAGGTGGATGTACAACCGGCTACTAATGGGTATTTCTACGAAACTTGCGTAAATATTCATCATAGTTGAAAAGTTGTTGTTAATTTCGCCGTTCGTATAAATCATGCACTGGTGTGCGTGTATACGCGCGCCACAACACTTTTACTTAACACGCCCGGAACAATTACGGACAACGGAAATAATTGTAATATACGGAGTAATAATAAAGTATAACACAATTCGGGAAAGTCGATTTCGTTTGATTCGGTTTAATTCAATTTATTTCGTTTTTCATTATAAACTCCCGTTAAATATTGAAATATCGAGAATTTATTACACTCTATTACGGTATCGTACGCGTTGTAATTCGCGATATGGACGCGTATTTTAAATATAATCTTTTTACTCTTTGTACACGATGTATCTATTTTATTGTAAAAAATTTTTTTTTTTTTTTTTTCGCGATCGAATACGACTGTACAACTTGTCCCCTCGATAATTATCACTAGATTAATATTAACGAAAAGTAACAACGTTAGAATCGTAGATGTTAATTTTATGGATGCAACGATTATTCCAATAATCGAGAATTTATTACATCCCGCGTATTTTAAATATAATTTTTTATTCTTTTTGTATCGTCGTTACTAAAAATTTATTGAACAACCTGTATAATAACTTCGATAATTAATAGATTGATATTAACGCAGTTAGAATCGTAAATGTTAATTTTACGGGTGATTATTCGAATAATGTCCGATCGGAACGAATCCAAACGCGAATAGAATTTCAGAAATTATAATTTCCAAGAATTTCGTTAAAGTACGAGAGAGAGAATATTGTTGAAAAAATCCTCTCGAGCCAAAAATTGCGTAACGAGCGATTAAAATTGATATAATATTTTTTCCAATTTCGTTTTTCAACGAGGATAAAAATTAAAAGGGAGGAAAAATTAAACTCTTGTTTAAATATAATATAACCGCGCATCGTAACGTGTTGTAGATATTGAAGTTTAATTATCGCTTCGAAAATTTTCACCCATATTCGATTAGATTCGATTTTCGCATACAACGATTCATCCGAGTAAATTTTACGATCATTTATTCTTCCTTCAATCTCGACGAATAAATCTCGTATTTCAAATAATTCTCACGTAATCGATTCTCGCGTTTTTCAACCAACTTAAAAATTTCCAAAAGATGCAATCTCCCCGAAAAACGAGTAAACTCGTCCCACACACACACACATATATATATTCGTCTATAAATATTATAATAGAAGGTTCAAACAGTTTTTTTCGTATCGCAATTTGCCGCCTCTTCTTCACGAATAATTCAGAACGGTGGAGAAACTCGATATTCGAAAAAAATACCGGTCTATCGACACGTCGACTGATTGCTGTATCGCCAGCTTGAATCTACAAATTGCGAAATAAAATCGCATCCACGTCACGATGGGCGATGACGCGGCGGGTTTCGAGATTTGATAGACGCTCGCGAAATATAATATAGAATCGTCGGGAAATTTTATATACGACGAACGTAATGGAGCTCAGCAACGAACAGATGAACGTTTGAAATTCGTATCTACAAGGATCCTTTCCTTACTTTCGTTCGATAAAGAGCGGTATTATTACGATAATACGAGAGATACGTTCGCTTCGAGGCGGATAATTAAAGCGGGCACAATCGATTAAAAACGGATAATTGAAACAGCGAGGGAGGAAAGAACGTTGCATGCGAAGGAGACGAGAAAAATTATTAATTCGATCAACGAATTTATTAATTTAAATAAAACGATTTCATTCGACGGTGTTATTTTTTCGAACCAACGAGTCATTTCTCATAAAAGAAAATCCACCTTTTCCTCGCCCATTCTACATAGCACACGTAATATCTGATGAATCAAGACTTAATAAAGAATTGGTGAATCGGATGAAACAAGTGACGACTATTACTTTTCAATTACTTCCACGAGTCGTTGCGTTTAATTTGCGCAAAATTCCTCTTCGTTCCCCTTTTGTGAATTTCTTTTTTCTCTACGCTTCGACAATGCATCATTTAAACAAGCGCGCATTTAAAAAGCGATTTCCTTATTAACCTCGACGAAAATCTGCGCTGATCAAACTCGAAAACATTACGATCCACTCCGTTTTCTCTCTCTCTTT